TATGTGTCGGGCTCCTTTGCTTTTGGTCGTTGGACATTTCCTTGCCCTGTATTTCGCGTGGCTGCGAGAATTACCTGAAACTGATTTTCAGTTATTCCAAATATGCTGGTTCCTGGTGCCGGGGCGGCTGGGGCCGGTGGCCCAGGTACTGCGGATCCTGACATTCTCTCAGGTCGTGTGGTTCCAGCAGGAGAGCTATCGACTGGTGATCCTTTCTCTGGCGTTACTGGGCTTGCTGCTCTCGAGGGTTCTGCTGAGACGTGATCTAGGACGTCGCTGAATCCTCCTAGATTAAGATTTTGATCGTCGATGTCAATATCTCCTTCCCTCTCTGTGTTGAAGGATGCGGTCTTGTATCGTTTAGCGTCGCACTAGGTGACGCTTTATAATGTAACGTTCCCCTTTTAGATAATTAGTTCTTGGCGACAGGAAATGATACTTATCTTTTCTGTCTCCTCCTTTCTTTGTCTTACGATAGCTCTAGGCCTATGCCTACGTTACCGATAGTACAAGACCTTTGTCTTCTATCGGAAATGCCTATCGTAAGCTTTCTCTAACTCGTCTTCGTGACGAACGCTTCTTGATGTAATAATAACTTTGCAATAAAGATAAAGATCGTAAAGGTGTTTTGTATTCGTTAAGTAATAAGTAGGAAAAGTACTTAGAACAAAGCATTAAGAACCTATCTTCCTCGGCCGCATTGTCCTCCTTATATAGTATTCTTCCCACCCGTAGTCATGTGACCTAAAGTGGTCACATGTGCGAAACCAAATCATAACAAACTAATCATGTGACCAAAGTGATCACATGCTCAAAACCCATGACCTTATAGCGAGGTCATGTACAAAACTCATAAACCAATCATAACACAATAAACAAGTCATATGACTCGACTGAGTCATATGCGCGAAACCCATGACCTCATAATGAGGTCATATGCAAAACATAAATCGTATGCGCAAGGCTTACCCGCAAGGCATACTCACAAGGCATACTTGTCAGGCGCACGTCCCATGACTTATACTTGAGCCATATGCGAAAGCATCCCAAATCCCACACATAACAAATCATATGACCCTAATGAGTCATATGTGTGAAACAATAACGTACCTGTGACTCATAACTATACGTCACATGAAAATCCTTTCCTCACTAAGCCACATTCGTGACAAGAGGATTGATTTGTTTCTGCTAGCGTAGAACTTAACTTCCCTTAGTCTGGTACAAACTAAACCTATATATTATGCATGTTCCCCTTCGGAGTTTGAGAATATGATGATAGCGTTGATGAAAACCTATACAAAATGGTGGAGATATTTGCTTAAGAGGTTTTCCATAATTTGCATGAAGGTGGTAGGCGTATTCATATCACCTTGTAATATAACTTGGCTAATGAAACTCCTGAAGGGTGTTTTAAAACTCTTATAGTATTTGCTTTCTGTATCTAACCTTGTCTGGAAGTATGCATCACTTAGGTCAATCTTGCTTTGGAATCTAGCCCGCCCTACTGCATTCAGGATTTGGATTTGGTTTGGGATAGTGGAACTGTCCATCGCCATGTTTTTATTCCGTAGTTTGAGGTCAATCAGGGGGCGTATTATTTTGCCGTCTACTTTGGGTTGGACAAACTTAGGTGCAGTACCTGGTGCTTCTGCTCAGTAGATGACTCCTCTTTTTTGTTGCTGGTTTATCCAGTCACATAGTGGGTTTTTGTAAGTGTCAAGGATAGAGTAGGTTGATTGGTTCTTAAGATTAGAGGGGTCACGAAGGCGGATGTGGTGATTTACTTCCCTCATAACTGGTAGTTCTTCGGGGATCTGATCAGGGAAAACATCAGAGTATTCATCCAATAGAAGTTGAGCAGTTGCTTCACAGACTGCATCTCAGTACTCTCCGCTTGTTGGTTTACATGTCTCTCTAACCTTCTGATCTGGGAAATCGATGGTTGATTCCCCATACCTGATTATAGCTTTGTGGCAGCTCAGGAATGAGATCCCTATCAGGGTATCGTATTTGGCTAGGTTTCCCACTAGCATCTCCAGGTGGGGTAGGACAGTGGAACCAAGTCGAATAGTTGCGGTACACATCTTATGGCTTGTAGATCGTGATCCTTTTACTGCCATATAGACAGGTATGAGCTAGTTCAGATCTCAGGTTGGAAGTCCATGGACAGAGACAAATGCGTTACTGATCATGTCTCTTCCAATTGCACCAGTATCGAATAGGACTCGAGCCTTCTTGCCGTTAATCAGAATAGTAGCTTGTAGGGCAGTGTGTGTCTTGAAGATAGCGGGTGGTCAGATACTGTTGCATTCCATATCGATATATCTGATATGGATTTCCTCATATCCACTAGATTGGGCATCGTCACTATCACTCTCAATATTATTGGCCAGTGCCTCTTGTTTAATTGCTTTTCCTTTTCCTTTCTTCGTAGGGTAGTTCTTTGCCATGTGTTCTGTTTTTCCGTCTTCAAAGTATTCTCCCTTCTGTCATCTTGACTCTTTAGAGAATTTTGTTCTTTTTAAAAGCTTGCGGGGTATCTTCTTCAGAGTTGATGGAGGGCTTGTGTCGTGGTTGCCTATTACTGCTAGAGGATGTTTGTGTCTTGTATGCCTTGGTTTTATAGAGGATGGCATCCTTTTATTCTGCCCTTGCAATTATTACAGACATATTATCATCATCTTTCTCAAGTGGCTCTACCTCTCGCTGTAGAGTAGAATATATGGCGTCGTAGAATCGCCACTTAAGGATGTAGCCGGAAATGCTTCCTTTCTTCATGCAGTCCTTATACATTAGGAGATTTGTGGCTACATCTGTAATTCTTTTGACATACATTCTATTCACTTGGTAAGACTGGTTGAATTTGTTGTATAGAAGGTTGTTTGTGATAGAGGATTGGAATTGGCTTTTCAGGTAATTGAGAACAGTGGATCCTCTCAATCTTATATTTCCACGGTATTCCTTATAGCATTGGTGGTATGTATTGGTTGTCTTTTCTTCGCAGAATGATCCAATGTATAGTCTGGATATAGGGTTCTCCACATCTTTCCCTTGTAAGAGAAGGTAGTGTGTGAGTTCAGTTGCCCATCGATCAAAAGCTTCAGGGTTGAGGTCTTATCCTTCTCTTGTGAACTTCACTGGGATGTGGAGTTTAAACTTAGGGGGTTCAAATGCTTCAGGTGCTTTCTCTTTTTCAGGCCGAGCCTGAGACTTTCCTCCTCCCCACGGCCCTCCTCCTGTACTAGCTGTATCTGATTTGTTACTGGCTTTTAGGTCATTCGGAGGTTCAAAGGAAGGCTTCCTTCCTGGGGTAGAAGGAAATTCTCCTGGAGGTTGTGTGTCTTCCATGTTTGCAGGTTCTCCCAGCTCCTTAGCAGAGCGCAAGAGTTGTTTTTATCTTATAAGGTCTTGCTGTGGGATTTACTTCCCACTCCTGGTCATCAATGACTCTATGTTGGTTTTGAGATGAAGCCAAATGTGCTGTGATTCTGCTGCTTCTCTCCACTAGCGTTCTGAGATAGATATCGATAGGTTGATCAGGCCAAACTCTGGAGACAGGTTCTTAACTACTTGCTGAGGTTAAA